CCTCTCTTACTCACTCTCAGAAAAACAGACCTGCTTTAGTTTGTTGAGGGGGTTTTTTCAGCCTTTTTTTCATACTTTTGTGTGAAAGTTGCATCATAAAAGAATCAGTCTGACAGTGAAGCTGAGGAGCAGTGAACATATTCTAGGATTAAACTGACGCTGGCTTTTATTGGCTCAGGCAGAAATCTGTTTCCATAAAATCCACCAAAGTCCATGGAGGAAATGGTCAATTTAAGCTCACAGAGATCGCTGGTCCTCTGCTGTCCCCGGTGGTCAGTTTGTGTCCCTGCTGTAAATCAGAACAAAACACTTCAGACACTGGAGTGACAGAAGAACACATTCAAGTTTCAGCAGTGATTAATGGAGTGGGCAGTGAAGTAATATCCTTTACATGTTTCATCATGCAGTACACCCAAGTACACATGTACACATATTCTTTAACCTGTCAAAGTATTTACTCATCCTCACTGAGTTCATTAAGAAAAACAAGGATTTTTTTTCCCAGCTCGATCCCAAAAACTTCTGGCCAGCTGCTGCCCCCTGTGGTCAGGTGGTGTCACTGATTACAATCTGTAAAAAGGGACTATAAAATAATAAAACTATTGCTTTTCATTCATTATTTGTAATTGAATATTTATCAAATATCAATTTCCACACTAATCCCATCATGCACTGGGAGGTTCTGGCCGCCTTACTGCCACCCACTGGTTGGTGATAGGAGTTACTCTGGGGGTTTTTTGTCACCGAATTTCGTCAGGAATAAATGAATCTGAATCCGTTTGATTTTCATCCTCAGCTTCTTAAAGATAAAATATAACTCTTTTTTAATTTTTTCTCCCTGACGGTGGACTTTTTAGTCATTTTTAGCTCTGCTCAGACTGGAGCTAGACCAAAGATTTACCTTGACTTAATGGAAAAAGAGAATTAGCTGTTGGACGGTTGTTGACACATGGAACAGACTTCACCGCTGCTCCACTAATTATGTCTTTCCCATCATCATTATGAGTATTATTGTTATTATTTTTGGAATATTCCAGACTCAGCAGTGTGACAGTGAACGTCTGAGTGTGAAGTGACTTCCTGCTGGGTCCGTGCACAAGCTAATTAGTTCTTTGACATGAAATTAAAGGTCTGTTTTTGAAGGTCTTATTTCCTGAGTTTGACAGATTGTGCACCACAAACACAGGTGTGTGTGTGTGTGTGTGTGTGTGTGGTCCGTGACTATCAGTACCTACTGGTCTGTGCAGTGACTGTGTATGAATGGAAGTGTGTGTTTAGACCAGTGTAGACGATGGTGACGTTGTGAGGACCGACTGAACTCCAGAACAGGAGCCTGGAGCCAGAGGTGGAGACCAAGAACAAACCAGTGAGTGTGTGTGGAGGACAGTTCAGACCAACTTGACTTAATGATGTGACGAGACACACACACACACACACACACACACAGCTAAATGTTACTCCTGTCATTGGTTGTGGATGAAAGGACTTCATTATTCCTGTTTACAAACTCCCACTATCATCAGCATCACTGTCTCTCTCTCTCTCTCTCTCTTTGTCTCCCTTTCTCCTCCACCCTCTCTCTCTCTCTCTCTCTCAGTCCTCCCCCTCTCTTCATCTCTCTTCATGATGTGTGCAGGTAATTAAAATGTCTTTTTTCCGCAGTCTTGTGATAAATGAACAGAGCTGTCATGGAAACGCCTCCCACTACCTCACCCCCCTTCTCTCTCTCTCTCTCTCTCTCTCTGATTCAGCCGTTACAGTTCAGGGCCTCTCCTTCATTAGGCTCCTGGTTGCTCAGAACCAGGATGCGTTCAGGGTAACAGGACGTTGCAGAACTCAGGAGCAGAGGGATAGAGAGAGATTAAGCTGCAGAGTGGAGACAAGCAGCTTTCAATTAGAGCGCAGCCAGGGAATCCCTCCAAACCACGGACCTACGGAGTACGCAGAGATACAGGAAGAGAGGGAGGCTGAAGGAAATGTTTCCTTATTCTATTCTTTATTTGCCTGGTCCAGTCTGTGCCTCCTCACAAAGGCATGATGTAAAACTGAACCAACTTGGTCAACAGTAAGTCCACCACTGGTCCACCACTGGTCCACCGCTGGTCCACCACTGGTCCACCACTGGTCCACTGGTTTATGTCACTGACATTAATGTGAATGAAGACTGTCAAATGTGAAATTCCCAAAACGACTCATTTCCACCTAGTGGCAGGAGTTGTTTCAGAAACAGTTTTCTTCTGTAAACAGTTCAGTTTGTGTGTATAGAGGGTTTAGCTTGTAGTCAGCAGTGAAGTGTAGTCCATAAAGACGTCACTCTTCAGCAGTATCACAGACGATCGGTGACTTCTTGTTGTGAACTTCTCACTCTGACGTCTTTTAGCCCTGAATCTCTTTGACTTTTTCAAAAATCTCCAGCTGTTCCAGTGAAGAAGCTTCAAACGCAGATTGTTAAATAAAATAAAATTGTCCTTCTCTTCCTGCTGCGTCTCAACTCGGCAGCTGTAAATATTGATCAACAGCAGCTGTGCTGGTTCATTTACAGGAAGACACCACCGGGTGGCATTAAAATTAAGATTGAAAACAGGGTCAAAGTCTGCGCTGGTTTAGTTTTTTTAACTAACTTTGGTATATTTTTGACCAACCAGAGCCATTTTGGTTCTTTTGTTTGGTCGTGGCTAACCCTTAGCTTGTTCTTACTCAGTATGTTGATCCAAACGTGTCATTAATAATGTTGTCATTAGTTGAAGATGTACTTCTTCAGCTGGATTTCTTTTCCTGTATCTTTTGTTTCCGAACACATTTCTATTCCTTTTCTTTACCGCCCTAACCTGCTGCTCACCTGGTCCAGCTCTCTCCTCTAACTAGTTATTTCACATTTTTGTCACCTTGTGAGTAGAAGAACAAACATTGGACACAGAGTTCTGACAGTTAGAAGGGATTTGACCCAGATGAATCCTAGACCCAACACTGAGGTGCTGTTTGAGTGACGCTGACATTACGTGATAAAATGTGAGTCAGACGCTGCAGGTATAAATACCACAGGTATTTGCTGCTCAGTGTGTAAATGTTGAAGACCAGGATCAAACAGCTGCCCTGTGTCCATGAATCTAAATAGAGTCTGGATCCAGGTCCTGGTTTTGAATGTTTTCTCTTTTCTCTTTCTATTTTGTGATGGATGAAGCTGTGAGCTCCACCCCTACACCTACACCTACACCTACCCCCCCACCTACACCCACACCCACACCTACACCCACACCTACACCTACACCCACACCTACACCCACACCTACACCTACACCTACACCTACACCCACACCCACACCTACACCCACACCTACACCCACACCTCCACCTACACCTACACCTACACCCACACCCACACCTACACCTACACCTACACCCACACCTACACCTACACCCACACCTACACCCACACCCACACCTACACCCACACCTACACCTACACATTTGTAAAAGGCACGAGGCTAGAGGGCGCTGGTGTGACGATGTGAAGTCCTCACAGAACACAAAAACCAGTGTTTGTGGGTTTGGGTGTGTGTGTGTGTGTGTGTGTGTGTTATGTATTATTTATGAACTACCTGTTTCACAATCATAGACAACACAAAAACAAGGACCATCCAGAATCTGACAGGAACTGAACCTGAATCACAAACAGTGAAGAGACAACAACCTGTTCACTTCAGTTTTGACTTTATGAGAAATAATCATCTGCACAGATTCATTAGTGGTGAGTGTATCTGGAAGGTCAAAGGTCGTTGGTTAGTATGATATGGTTTGACATTGTTCCCCAGTCTTTGGCTATTCTGCTGCTGGAACACACACAGATGACAACTCAGCAGTAACAGCAGCAGTAACAGCAGTAGCAGCAGCAGTAACAGCAGCAGTAACAGCAGTAGCAGCAGCAGTAACAGCAGCAGTACCAGCCGCAGTAACAGCAGTAACAGCAGCAGCAGCACCAGCAGCAGCAACAGCAGCAGTAACAGCAGCAGCAGCAGCAGAAACAGCAGCAGCAGAAACAGCAGCAGCAGAAACAGCAGCAGCAGCAGCAGTAGCAACAGCAGCAGGAGCAGCAGCAGCAGCAGCAGCAGAAACAGCAGCAGTAACAGCAGCAGTACCAGCCGCAGTAACAGCAGTAACAGCAGCAGCAGCATCAGCAGCAGGAACAGCAGCAGCAGTAACAGCAGCAGTAACAGCAGTAGCAGCAGCAGTAACAGCAGCAGCAGCATCAGCAGCAGTAACAGCAGCAGCAACAGCAGTAACAGCAGCAGCAGCAGCAACAGAAGCAGCAGCAGCAGCAGCAGCATCATCAGCAGCAGCAGCAGCAGTTGTTCCTAAGGACCTGGGTGTCTCCACCTGCCTCTCTTACATCCTCTCATCCTGTTCTCAGTGTCACTGTTTTTCCTCTCTCTTCTCCTCCTCTTCCTTCTTCTCTGTCTCCTCTTTCCTTCCTCCTGCTGCTCTGTCACTCCCTCACTCGCCTGTCAGTTTTCACCAGCAACAACATTTGCTGTAGAAGGATTTTGAAATTCAGACCCTCTTCTGATTCCCTGTCATTCCTCCAGACCCTGCTCTGGGCTGTGTGCTGTGGGTGGAGTCAGTGAGAGTCTGTCAGTGACTGAATGTTTGTGTTACAGCAGCTCCACACTGGACATACTGTAGTTCTCCTAAGAACAGACGTTAATGGAGACAAGTTCCTTCATTTGATGGATTTGTTTCTTTATTTATTCTAGGTTTTGTGGTTAAAACAGAAACCCTCGTGAGTTCTTGGAACTGTCTATGGTCCTGATGGAAATAGTCATTGTCCTTATTACGGTTGTTTCTCTGCAGTACACCTGACATTCCTGATTTGGCCACCAGGTGGCCACTCCCTGTCCTAAAGCTAACCAATGTCTTTGAACACCATGAGTGTTTCCGATCTTAGCTCAGCATGTGCTTGTCTTTCTGTGACGTCTGACAGTGAGTGACTGTTTTTGCCGCAGATATCCGAGGACTGCAGAGCTTCCTGGACCAGACTTCTCGTGTAGGTGTGGACGTCGCCCTGCAGCGCGTGGACAGAAACGTGAGCAAAGTCTTTAGCGCCCTCTTCAGCAGCATGAAAACCGAGGAGCTGAACCGGTACCGGGACACACTGAGGAGAGCCGTGCTGCTGCTGAGTCCACAGGCGGCGCACACCTTTATCCAGCAGGTGACTGCACGTCATACAACATACACGTGTTAAACACTGGAGGCCAGTGTGCATGTATACACACCCACCACAAGAGGGCAACATACAGGCATACATTCTTAGCTTAGAGGAGAAACCACACAAGTGTACCATGATCATGTCTGTGTAGGTTCTCAGTCATCCAGGTCATTTAATCCAAAAATACCTACATCGAGGGCAAATGGACCAAGTAGGTTTCCTTCTTCTTTTTGAAGACGTTTCACCTCTCATCCAGGAGGCACTGGAGAAGAACTGGAGAAGAACTGAAGAAGAACTGAAGAAGAACTGAAGAAGAACTGGAGAAGAACTGGAGAAGAACTGAAGAAGAACTGAAGAAGAACTGGAGAAGAACTGGAGAAGAACGGAATAAGAACTGAAGAAGAACTGGAGAAGAACTGAAGAAGAACTCAAGAAGAACTGGAGAAGAACTGAAGAAGAACTCAAGAAGAACTGGAGAAGAACTGAAGAAGAACTGGAGAAGAACTGGAGAAGAACTGAAGAAGAACTGAAGAAGAACTGAAGAAGAACTGAAGAAGAACTGAAGAAGCCTCTTGGATGAGAGGTGAAACCTCTTCAAAAGAAAGAAAACCTACTTGTCCAGTTGCCCTTGATGTAACTGTGATTTTTGGATAACTTATAACACTGTGCAGGTGTCACCACACTGAAAATGGAAGTAGAGAGAGAGAGCGTGTGTGTGTGTGTGTGTGTGTGTGTGTGTGTTTTCACTCAATGAATCTGTCACTCAAGCGTTGCCATGAGAACAGTATTGATCCACCTCTGACTTATCAGTCATCTCACACACACAGGCACATTTTCCATCCTTACTTACTTATTTACCTCCTCTCTCTCTCTCTCTCTCTCTCTCTTTCTCTTTCTTTCTCTCACTCACGCCCTCTCTCTCGCTCTCTCTCTGTCAGTCCTCCTTTATTACTCTCTCTTTTTAGTCTCTTTTTTCTGCCCTCCATCTCTTCCTTACTACCTCTATAATTCCTACACGGTGAGAGTGGGGGAGACAGAGGGAGAGAGAGACAGAGGGAGAGAGAGAGAGAGAGAGAGAGAGAGAGACATGTATCTCTCAGACTTGTAGACAGCTCTGACTCTCAGAGGAGAAATGATGACTGACAGCAGCATGTCTGTGTGAGTGTGTGGAGCTGTGTTCATGTCCTGAGGGGCAAATTGAAAATGACCTCATTGAAACACAAGCAGCAATTTTCTTTCCTACCCTTTCTCCACACACACACACACGCACACACACACACACACACTTGTTGCTAATTGCCCAGTTTACAGATGGCCTCTGACTATAAGCAGGTCTCTCTCTCTCTCTCTCTCTCTGCTCACACAGAAGAGAAACCGAACACTTGTTTGGTTGTTTACGAGTCAATGCACCGATCAATAAATCAGTTGATCATCAGTCAAAGATATTTGTTGGTACCTAGGCCTTCATTAAGATGGGCTTCAGTTTCCACAGGAAAGAAATGTATTGAATTAGCCAAGGTAGCTAACCGCGTTGATGAGATGGATTATGTTGGCTCTGTTATGTGATAGCTTTACAGGCTAACACTTTAAACGTAGCTAGGTGAATTATAGCTGAGCAACCTAATAAAATGTATTCCATGTAAGCAACAAATTCAAGCTAGGTTCTCTGAGATGTACCTCGTCTTAATGACAAAATACACAAAACCTTTTTTGTCAGGTATCTCTTAAATTCAGGAAGGAGCCTTCTGTGAGTTAATGCGTGGCTTAAGGATGAATTTTGCATTAGCAACACAATGGCGGCTAACACAGAGCTAAAGCTCGATGTACAGAAGGTTAATTAGCTGATAGCAGCTGTTAGCTGTGGTATAACAGTCTGTTTAGTCTCTAACTGAGATTTACTTCATTTCTATTCATTTTCAGTCTTTTTCTGCGATGTTTAAGTTTTCAGCAGACCACCAGACAAATGTCAGGACATGAGGATAAACGTTTTCAACAGTCCTGACATTTTTGGTGAAAAATAAAATGAAGGAGCAGTTTCTCTGGTCAAATATGTGGAGCTGAGTCTCAGAGTCTGTTCAAATATGAAAAACCTTTAACGTTGACGCTCTCCTCTGTCAGTGGTTGTTAGCTGTTAGCACAGCTCTGATAAATCATCCTCATTTGTCTGTTTTCTCGCTCTGTTGGACAGAATCAGACTCATGATATTTTTTCTTCTTCTCCTATTATTGAAACTCACCAGAGACAAAACAAACAGATCTATTATTTGTGGATTAAATAAAAATGTCATCCTAGGAGGCAGGAAATGAAAAAAATCCTCATTAATCCGTTGTTTGTCTTCGCAGTTGTTGTTAGCTCGTTGTGCTTATGTTGATGAAGCTGATATCAGCGATACGGTTCTGTGCTGTGATAATTCTTAATTAAGTTGCGTTGCCAAAGATGAAAAAAGAGTTAATATGCTGGGTGAACTTAAGTCTGCGTTAGATGAACTATTGGTCAATTAGTTAACAATGTATGAGATGGTAGCAAAACAATTTGTTAACCTTTTAGTGATTTACACTAGCTCAGCTAGCAGGTGAAAGTAACCAGTAGCAACAGATTCAAAGAAGAAATACACCTTGGTGGAGGAAGTTATTAATAAATTTAAAGTTAATAAATTTGCTAGCCAAATGGGTAAATTGAGCTAAGTCAGAGACAAAATATATCTTCAATGAGACATTTTTATCCCTGAGGCCTTATTGGTTCTTAAAGGACTGACTGGAAAAGGGTTAAGAAATGTTGGCAACAAAAACCAGCTTTAAATGCTAATTTAGCTGAGCCAGAGGAAGTATTTGGACATTTTAGCTACACAATATCAGCTTTAAAAGCCACCATTAGCTTGGTCAGGCCAGTACACCTTTAGCAGATAAATCACTGCCTTTTTTTGGCATTGGTTCGCCTCCTTCCTCTGCGTTTCTTCTTTGCTTCATTAGCGCCACCGTCTTTCTCCGCGACCCAAAGGGCCTCACTCTAAATCACTCATTAACACTGATTAAAGAACAGTGTGTTCTAGTGCAAAAGGTTGAGTGTTAGCACCAGCCACGTCCTCAACTTTGTTCTAAACCACAGCATTAACACCGACAACAGATGTTTTTGTTTGAAGACAGATTTACTGTTAGTTTAAACTGACTGTTAGTCTTGACTCTGTCATTGTCTCTAACCATGCTGCATAAACATGCTGCATAAAACCAGTACCATGTCACAGAAGAACAGCAACATCAAACATAATTAAAAAAACATTACAGTTAAAGTCATTTGTATTCATTTTTAATCGACTGAGCAGTGGAGACGATGTTAATGTCACTGTAATGTGGAAAATACAAACTGACCAAAAATGTTGGTTTGTGTTCTCAGAAATGTTTCATTTTCTTCAGGGGTGTAATGTCAAGCTAGCTACATTATCGACATAGCAAACAGTACGGATCGTAGTGGTTTACTAAGCTAAGCCCCCTTCGAAAAACTAGTTTCATTAATCAAATGTTTAATTAGCTGAGTTAGCATCAGGATAGATAATTAGGATTAGAATTGTAAAAAAAAAGGTTATAACATCTGCAGATGTAGTAAAGTAAAGAAAAAGAAGAAGTTCAGTTAGCAAGTGATAAGGGCCAAGGTTGTTAGCTTAACGACTTTAGCGCAATGTTTTGTTCTCTTGTTGAAAAGCTAACAGCTTTGTCAGGATTCCTGTGTTTTCTGTTAGAGTTGTTGACTCTTAAACCACACGGTCTCATCCAGGACAATCATCTGAACATAACCGTTAACTTTTCACTCAGAAACTCTTTGTGCTAATGAAGATGCTACGTCTGTGTGTGTGTGTGTGTGTGTGTGTGTGTGTGGCTGCAGCTGCAGCGTCTCATTAGGATCACGTTTATTGTTGTGTTTCTGCTGCTGCTGCTGGAGGTTTTATAGATTCTTTAACAGCAGCAGTAATTACAGCTTTACGGTCAGAGTGGCCGATGATGGAGGCTGCGTCGCAGCTACGCTCGTCACCAGCAGCAGATACAGGTTTTATGGAGGTTTTAAATTTGTCTTCCACAGATTTAGACCAGGTCAAACCTACTCTGAATTTTTGGATTGTTTTGGGCTCAGAATGACGTGCACTGACATCCAATGATCTCCCATCGTTCTAACTCACAGTTGAGTTAACATGTATGCCTCTAACAATCAAAATGTCACTGGCTTTAATATCAAATATAATATTTGTCTGTTAATCTGTACATATTCTTTAAACTTTTCAACAGAAAAATGTGAGTCACACTCCCAAGACCTGATGTTTTTGAAATAACACCTCCTCAGGTAGGAGAGAGGGAGCAGGAGCAGGCTGAGTTCCTGTTTCTCCAGCAGGAAGTGATGGGTTGTCATGGTGATGACCTGGCGATGACATCACTCTAGTTCAGGTCACAGTCAGGTCATCAGATATGATCAGGGGCATCATCCCAGGAACTCCATTGACATTCTAGGTTAAAAATAAAATAAAAAATCCCCACGCCGCCACAGCTGCAGTGGAAACTGAAGACGAAGAACAGAGGATTCTCTGAGTCACAGCTGCCGTTCCGTGTCAACACCACCGAGACACAGGATTGGCTAACTCGTAATGCTAACTTTTAGCATTGTGATGTCCTTTAAACACTGCACCCTAATTTAATTTGAATAATTATTTTGGTTTCAATAGATACTTATGCTTTTAAACATAAAAAACAAATTGCGGTTAGAATGAGTCATTTTTCTTTATAGCCACTGTTACAGTTCACCTGTTGGTGCCAACTGACTACCGAGGGGTGGGGGGGGGTCACATCATCTCTATAAAAACCTTCAAAAATATTTTTACTGCTTTGTTGTAGAATAACACCAACAGTAACCCCCCCCCCCCTCCTCGGAATAACTCGGACCAGTGAGATCGGACTTTTCCTCAAGGCTTTTTCCTGTGGATAGAAAATGGAATTGGAATAAAGACGTTGAGTTGCAGAAACTGCTGATGCATGAAATATAAATCAGGACAAAGGCAGAAGAAAACGATGGCACCTCTGGAGAGGAGTCCCTGAACGCTGCACGATGTGTTTACGGACATTGTCAGTGAGTCTAAATGAGTTTGTTCTTTTTTTCTTTTATTTATTTCAGTCCCTTGAAGGTCCTGGAGTGTCCAGGCCAGGTTTCATTCTTGTTCCCAAAAATGACAAATATTTTTTACTTTGAACGACAGCTGAGGTGGGGCTTTGATGTGATTCACGTCGGGGGAGGTTGCTCTCTGTGATGAATCCACTTCCTGTTTGATTGATTTATCGCAATATTTTTACGAGTCCTGCCGCAGTGAGTGTCCTCAGCTGTGGCGTACGACCTCCTCTGTCCTTATTATACCCCCATCAGCCAACAGATGTGATTCACTGCCGACTGACACACACACACACACACACACATGCCCAGAGTATCCAACCATCTTTGTGATTTTCTAGGACTGTGGGTTTTCCTTCTTCTTTGGTTTATTTGTTTTTATTTCTTTCTCTACAGACGTCTCTGCAGCTGGGTAACTAGTTTGGACCTTTGACTTCAGAGTTAAACTTGTGACTGTTTTATTAGATAGGTCGGCAGTGTGTTAACTTGACCCGAGTGTATTAGCTTAGCTTGTAGCTTTTGAGGTGTGTTAGCTCAGTAGCAGGTAATTATCAGTGTTTTTCTCTGAGACTTCCCCAAACATCAGGGGGCGCTCACACTTTAGACAGCTGTGAACCTACACGTTGTTTTATCTGTGAATTTGAACCGGACACGTCCCTTTGAGACGGTGACCACGTCCTCAGCGTCCCACGACTTTGACTTTGTCGTTGGGGTGAGCAGTAAACTCATCCTGACACATCGTAAAACCCAGGACACGCCCACTTCCTTTAGTGAAGACGGGACAGTGTGTGAGGACAAAGTCGCGGCTGAGGCCTGGACCAGTCACAGGAAGACAAACGCCGTCATGTGACTCCTGAGTCTTGGATGTTTGTCACTACAGCTGACGTTCATCGACTGTTTCCATCGGAATTCAGGAGGAGACGCAGCAGCTGTACATCTTTACACTCCGTACACACACACACACACGTGTGTGTGAGTGAAATAGCAGCTGTCATATCTGCAGAATCACCACCATGATGGAGAAAAAGTGAAGCCGAGGAATACTAATAACATTGACTCCACACACACACACACACACACACACACAGCTGTGATGTGAATGCCAATGGTTTGGTATGTGAAAAGAAATTCTGATCGCACCATTTGGCTAACAGTTAGCAGTAAACTAGGCTAACACTGTACAGAGGAACCTTGAGTTTGATCTGCTCCTCTCTCCATCCATGTTTCCCCAGAAAAAAAACTCCAAACCAATCATTTGTTCCAACTCCCCAGAAATATACTGTTAATTTAATTTAATAAATCTTTCCGCCATCTAAATATGGAAAACATAGATATAAACAAATATATTGATAATATAAAAGAATTATTATAATAATTAAGAAAACAATGTAAATATTTGTTATAAAAATGGGTAAAATAACCCAGTGAGGGAGAGTGAGCGAGACAACGAGTGACGAAGGAGGAGGATTATAGGTTTTTTATTATTTTATTTTATTGAGCACTAGAACTCGGCAGCTGCTTCGGCATCAGGGTTCGTGGCGTCCTCATGCCGTACGACTGAAGGGACGCCAGTCCAGATCGTCGTATCAGGAGGAAAATCTTCCCGTAGTTTCAGACTCGTAACGTGGAGAACTGGTATTCATGGTCGTCGTATCTGGAGGTTCTGCTGTTCTGAGCAGTTTCAGCCGTTGTTTTGACTTTACCTTTGATCTCCAGTCACTTGAACGCCCAGTGTTTTTGACAAGGTTTTGTTTTAATCTTGGCAGATTTTTGGACAAAAAACGTACAGTAAACGGGCCGCAGGTTTGGTCATGTTCATTTAGGGTTAGCACTTTAGTTCACTTTAGTGCTTTTGAGTAGAGTTTTATTTCTGAATATTTGGCTCCTCTTCACTCAGTGCTTCCTTCAGTTTTTTGAATCTTCTTCTCTCTTTCACATGGTTGTAGCTCAGACGAGTTTTTCACCTGCTGTTTATTTTGTCTTTTCTTTGTCAGTTTGCTCTTTTGAATTTTTCTCCACACACACGGACATGTTCTTCTGCACAGAACACAATTAACATTTCAGTCCTTTCATGGCAGACAAAGAAGAACACACACACACACACACACACACACACACGCGTGCGGCCCTGCTCAGTAATGAGCCTCCTCTCCTTCATGTTTATTCTTCCTCAGGTCCTCTGACGTCCACATCAGGTTTTTATGTCCTCCTTTGTGTTCATTCTGTGCTTGTGTGTTCAGTTGAGTGCAGCTGCTTGAGCTACACTGTTAAATACTGTTGTCACGTGGACACGCTGTCCTCGTGGGGACATTAGCAGGTTGTCCATCCAGTGAAAAGGTTGTTACAAATTCAAGATCTACTTTGCAGTTAGGATTAGAATTCAAGTCAGATTAGAGGGCACGGGATTAGGGAATGAAATATGTTAATGTGAAGTGCAACACAACTCCCCTCCCCCGTGTGTGTGTGTGTGTGTGTGTGTGTGTGTGTGTGGACATCAGTCATGTGGACGTGTCTTCAGCCCTTCACATTAAAAAGCTTTTTGAAGATTAAGACGTTCAAATTTTACACTTGGATTAAAATGGCGGCGGTTGAATGGACGATCAGAGATCCTTGGACGTGGGGCTGACTTGTATGCACCCTTGCTGCGATGTTATCGCCCCCTGTTGTTAGAAAAGAAAGGTAGAAAGGCTGTAAATAAACCCCACTGTGCCGCTGCTGCCCTCTGTGGTCAGCTGACGACACTGACCGACAGTAAATCTGTGATGAAGAGCGAAGGCATCAAATACTACGGCTCATATATTTGATGCCTGCTGGGTCGGATCAACAGCTGCCGTAATGTGTTTGCTGTAAAACTGTAGTTTTTTTTACTGTGGATATTTGTAAATGAAAGGGTCTCGTAAATCTATATTAGTTTAGTCTGAAATTACAGATTATATTCTCTAAATCTCTGAGTTATTGACCTGACAACTGTCTCTTGGTATCAATGAAATCATCAGTGTAACCCTTAGGACTTCATTTTTAAAATACCTTATCAATGTTGTTTGCACAGTGACACAAACTGACCACAGGAGGCAGCAGCGGACTAAACACTTTGGTGCGATGAGTCCACATAATCTTCACACTATGTATAAATTAAAACAGTGAACAGTGGAGAAACGTACGTTTACTGTTCCTTTATTAACAATAATGGTCCACAGATTCTTCTGTTTCTCAAGCATGTCCTCACACACAAAGAAACACACACACACACACACACACACACACTGTGGGTTGAAGGCCTGAGTGCTCTGTTTTTTTTTCCCCATGAGACCTCGGGTGAAGCGAGTTCTTCTGGGTTGTAAATGTTCAAGGTCCAGTGGAAGAACTGAAGTCCATCAGTGAACAAGGACTCCATGTTTTGTTCCACACACGTGTTAATGTATGTGTGTGTGTTTGAAACACACACACATACATTACTGTGTGATATGTGAATTCTGCTGGAGCTCAGGCTCTTCTGGGTGACTCTGTCTACACTGGTCAGGTTCGTTGGTACCGTCGCCCTCTTCAGTAACCGTTGATTTCCTCTGTTTCCTTCTCTCTTTGCTTTAGTTGATCGAGCGCCGGCGTCCGTTCCTCTCTTCCTGTTTCCTGTCAGGTCTTTCACAGTGAAACCAGCTTCTTGTTTTCCAACATTTAGTAAAAGTGAGAAACGCTCAGCGTCTGTGAATCACAGGGTCGCCACCGATTTGTCCAAAGAAACCCTGATTCCGTGTCACAGCTTCACGCGTGGATCAATAACTCATCAGCGGGTCGTCAGGTCGATGTCGGACTCCGACGCTCGGCTGTGGTTTCACTCATTTTACACTTCGTCTGAGTTTGTCACACTTCACTAAGACCTGCATCAAACCACCAGCTGCAGGGTTTGATGCTTTCCGTCCTGTTGATTCTGGTTTCAGGTCTGTGTGTGTGTGTGTGTGTGTGTGTGTTGGTGTGTGTGTGTGTGTGTGTCTGCAGCAGGGGAATAAAACGCAGCTGCTGTTTAGATAATAGAGCAGAACGTTGACAAATAATAAAGTGAGAGGAGATGATGATATAAAAAGGAGAAGTGTGTGTGTGTGTGTGTGTGTGTGTGTGTGTTTCTCAGTAAAGGTTATGTTGACAGGTGTAATATCTCCATGTAGAGGATGTTATGTGAAGTGTGTTATAAGAGCAGAGCTGTGGCCTTTACTGTAGGTTAACCTTATCACTGTCAACACACATACACACATACACGTCTTTATTAACGTTTCTAAAGCACTAGGTTCATACCAATGAAAATAACACAACAACCTCTGTTTAAAGTAAGAGAACGTGCAGCTGCTCCAGTGTAACGTTAGCTCAAATGTTCACTCAGCTCAAACTACACTTTAAAACATAAACTAAAATCAGAGTGAACATTTCTCAAAGGAACCTGCAATTTATTGAAGACTGAAAAATCTGAATGAATGTATTCTTTTGTTATTTTAAAGCAGCTCACTTTAATTTCTCTGTCCATGTTTCTCTCTCTGTCGCCTCCTGCAGGCTGTAGAAACAAACCTGGCTTCAAAAGACAGTCACTGGGTGTTTGTGAATGAGGTAAGAAAATACTGCTGTGTACTGAACATACTCTTAACTAGTGTATATACTGTATATAGCTGTGTATGGCTGACCTGGCTTCTTCTGTTTTGTTCACTTTGTGCATCTTCCAGACACAAAAATACCATAAGCTGCACTAACTAACTCTATTTGAAAACCTGAACATGTGTTGCTAATGTTTATTAGCATTGGTTCTCTGTCACCTGTTTTAACTTATTTAGCTACATTTCCTCTAATTTGATGCGAATCACAGGCTGCCAGAGACAACAGGTTAAAAATAAAAACTAAAACATCCTGGGTTTAGTTTCTGGGGTTAAAGCTGTAATTTTAGATCAGAGCTGAGATTGTTTTCTTCTCTGCTGGTGAAGTGTCACTTAAGTTGGAGACACCGGCTTTGTGTTGAAGCCCAAACTGTCAACTGCAGAACAACAGCAGTAGAAGAAGAAGAGAAGAGCAGTGTCCTTTTCAACCTCCTGTCTGCTGACAACGCAAACAACCACAGGAGGACGACAGGAGCACTGCTAATCAAACTGATACAGAGAGGGGGGAGGGGGGGAGCGGGGGTGTAAGATGCAAACAGGTGAGGTGAGAACATGGTAAAAGTGAGTCATGGTCGGAGGAGGTGGTGACAGTTTAGGAACGTCATTTATGGATGATAAATATGAATACCTGTCTTTTCAGTCAGGGATATCAACTTTTGAAAATAGAAAATAAATTGCAAATAAAAATTTACCTGTCACATTTTTCATATATATATATATATATGTATATGCATGAATGTATGTATAAAATAGTTTCTGCAGTCAGTCTGTGTTCTGCTGGCCCTGAGTTAAGGACTGGCTGAGATGAGTAGATGGAGCAGGTCTTTGTCCTGGAGACAGAGGGACAACTCTTTCTGATGCTAATCAGAGAGCAGAGACAAAGGAACGGACCAGGTGACATGAGGACTGGTGCAGGTGGAGCAGTTAATGCCTCCATCTGTATCGACAGCAGAATCCATCACTTCCTCCTCCTCCTCCTCCTCCTCCTCCTACTCCTCCTCCTGCTCCTGCATCTCGTCCCCTCTCCTGTGACGTTAACAGCTAACAACAGCCCTGATATTGGACACAGGGACTTCAGGACTTTACAGATGACACAGTTTGATTTAAAAGAATTGATGTTAACTTGTACTTGTTCTAATATTAATATGTACAAATACATTGTGACTGCGTCAGACTCAGTGAATGGATATAAAGTTCAGTTTTCGTCTCTTCTTCTCCCCTGACTACAATTACAACAAACTCACAATTACACTCTTCAAACACTCGTTCATTCGTCATCCGGTCTTTTCTCAACAGGAAATTAGTGACACGGAGATTCTGGAGCTTACCCACAGTGCACTTGGGCGGATGACAGTGATCCGTCAGATCTTTCCTCTGTGGAGAGACAGCAGCAGCCGCTGCATAAGGCAGAACCACCGCATCTCTTCACTGCTCTGTGACCCACAGGAGGGGTATTTACAGAACTTAGAGGTAACAGGGGTTTTACCACCTGCAGATCTCCACCTGCAGATCTCCACCTGCGGCTGTGTTCCTAACAGCTCACCTTCTTTTCACCTCCGTTCCTTGTAGGTGTCCAACCTCTACCTGTACGACAGCGTTCTGATGCTCGCCAATGCCTTCTACAGGAAGCTGGAGGACAGGAAGTGGCACAGTATGGCCAGTCTCAACTGCATTAGGAAGTCCACCAAACCCTGGAACGGAGGATGGTCCATGTTGGAGACCATTCAGAAGGTATTCAGACCAAAACAGGAGGTTCTTCTGGATTCTTCTGGATATCTGAGTAAAAGTAGCTTTTGAACATTTTCAGGACCAACTCTTGTTTATCTCCTCAGCTAATGTTTAACGGTGTCTGCAACACAGTAATATTTCCCATGATGCTTTGTATTTAGTTGTGTGCCGTGCTGGGATGTGACCAATAATGTGTCTTTGGTGGTCTTTGACCTCCATGTTCACGGACATGAGTCAAACACGCGTGACATCACTCACTGTGTCTCTATCACTGATGTCCAGGAGAAAAATACTCCTGACGTGTAGCTGCTCCGGCTGTCGCTGTTCAAAGGCCACGTCTAAAATGTGATTTCCTTCCAAGACACTCGTCGCTGCTGTTAGATGAAAAGGTCGCACACGTCGCCACCTGCAGGAGATTCATGTCCCATCATGTTTGTTTTGACTTGTTACAAAGTTGGTGAAGCTTCTGGTCGTTGATCAGGCTGTCAGTGTTAAAGTTCATCCAGTCGGTGCTCCGAGGGGCGAAAAGACCAGACTGAGAATCTGGGAGGTTTAATCTGAGGGAAGAAGAAGATTAAACGTGAGGATCATTTTAAAAGGATGAGATATTTGTGGTCTGGACCCACGTTATCTACTCTAATCATCAATTAAATCTACCACGAAGACATAAAAGAATCTGATGAATAAATCAGTGAGTCCAGTCTGATATTTTCTCAGGGGAACATCACTGGTCTGACTGGGATCATGGATTTTAAAGACGGAGGCTCCAACTCACACGTCCAGTTTGAGATCCTGGGATCCAGCTTCAGTGAGACCTTCGGCAAAGACATCAAGAGGGTGAGTCCAACTTCAGGCTTCAAACTGAATCCTACTTTGCACAGACGCTTGATAAATACTGACATCAAATATTATCAACTACCAAAAAGGACATAGAAAAAACACATCACATTATTTGACTGTCCACCAGGGGCAGCAGTGGACAGCAACTGTCCTGTCACTTTAAACTAAACCCCAGATTCTGTCTGTGTGGGTGGTGTGTGTGTGTAGTATGGTGTGTGTGTGTAGTATGGTGTGTGTGTGTAGTAAACACTGGTGCGAAAATGTGTTTTACATTAAAGATGTGTTTGATATTGATAATCACACTGGAAAAATGTGTTTATTAAAAGTGGGAGGACAAATTCCTGGGAGCTCAGTGTGTGTGTGTGTGTGTGTGTGTGTGTGTGTTTGTGTGTGTGTGTGTGATGTATGACCTCCCTGTTCTAATGGCCATTATATAACTCAGGGGAACTCATAACGGGGTGTGAGAAGTCAGGTGATTAAATCTTCAGTACATTGTGTGTGTGTGTGTGTGTGTGTGTGTTAATGTGCACACGTGTGTGTACTCTGCTGTTCTATCCAGGTGTAAATCAGTCTAATTGCTGCTTCTGTTTCAGAACTCATTGATTCAATAATTGATGGATTTGGACATTAATCATGTTTTTAAACTTAATATTTAAATTTTTCTTCACAATTTTCTTCTCTTTTCTCTGGTGAGTCCAGTCCTTTGACCGTCACGCCTTGAACTAATGGCCTGGAGCCGTTGATAAATTTAAAGCTACAGCTTCAGGACCGTAGAGTCACGACTCTATCAGAATCAGTTTTCAGTTTTTTAACTAGTCTGACAGAAAGTATTTGATCTGTGACCAGCAGCACGGTGTGAACAATGAAAATGATCGCTAAAGGTCATACATTTGTATGGACTGGTATTGGACATCTGCTGTGGCGGAAGTTAGCATTAGCATCTGAGCTAGCAGCATCATTTCCTCAGATTTAGGCATTAGTGTCGAAGCAGTGAAAGCAGTTGGCTGTACAGTGTTGTGTTCATGATAGTAGCTTTAGCGTTCATATTCTACAGCGTTGTTGTTACACAGTTCTACTGTTAGCAGTGTTAGCATTCCCTGTGGTTTGACTCTACATTTGTGAATTAGAACAAATGGTTTTGCATTTAAATTCTTACTTTTACGTGGTCTACGTTTTTATTTTGGTCTCGTTGTGATTATACTGGTCGATGACAACATCTTCCTGTTTTTCGTCCCTTCTGTTTGGTCCGGTTTCCTGCTGCTCAGGTCTTTGTCTCTTCAGTCTCCCTTGCCAACAGAAGTGCGGCTGATGATTTTTCTTCTCTCTGTAATGGGGGCTGCTTTGTGTGAAAATGAATCCATTAGAATGTTGGAGGACAAAAATGAGCCACAGACGGGGCTAATTCTAAATCCCCAGGGTCATTTTGGACTCATTACAACAATTTGTGCCTTTGAAAACTAGAAGGCAGCTAATTTCTCTGAATAATACATGAAACAAAGCCGCACACGTATTTTCCTGTCCTTTTATTTTTCCGCCAAAGACACAAAAATCTTCTTTTACATTTTTCTTTTTGTGTCTTTTACCAACAGTCACAGGAAGAGTGGCGACAAATGGGCAGAAAAGACTGGAAGGTTTTTGTCACCACAGGTGTAAAAAAATAAATTAAACCATTGAGCCGTCACTTGGACTCAGAGCGGAGAACGGTCTGGTTTGTTATTTTCAACAAGAAGTATTTTATCTACTTTAGTAACTGAAGATTATTTTAAATATGTGGAGTTTGCACGAGAGATAAAGCTTCATAAACCCTGTCCAAATGTTCAAGTGGTTTTTGACTTAATATAAACTTCCATAACCATGTGGCACATTTTTGAGATATTTAAAATACACATTTTCATTTCAGTAACTGGTAAAATTTCTATTATTATTATTTATAATTCTATTTATTATTTATTGTTTATTTTATTCCTGGTTAACTTTAAACTGGACTCTATTTTTACATCTGTGTTCATCTAAAAAGTTTTCATGTTGGATCATTTACTAATACTTTGACTGTTTTTTAAGCTATCTCTTAGGTATAGCACTGCTATCCTTTAGCTGCTTCTCAGAATTGGTTTCAGCTACTCCGGTGCTAACATTTATAGCTCTTTTCTGTATTTATCTGTAGCTAATTGACACTTTCTCTGTGTTTTTACTTAAAGTTTTGCTCTACATTTGTCTAGAAGTTTTAAAACTCTTTTTCCATTTCTCGTTGTTTGACGAGCTGTTAGCTTTTCTGTTAGCTTTTCTGTCCACCGGTCAAACATGGCTGGACTCATTTCTGGACCACTCTCGTCCGACTGTTAACGTTTGGAGCCACCTTTAAGCTGTAGCTCAGTCAACAAGGTGACTCTGGCGTAAAACTTTTCCTTCAAAGCTCTAAATTATCTTGGAAAGTGCTGTAAAATCCACAAAGTCAGAGACACAAATGTCAGAGCGGGATGAGTGGAAACACAGTCCGTGTTTAACGACCGCTGTAGGATCAGCTGTGCAGAAAGGAGGCCCCCGCTCCCTGCTGCCGTCTGCTGTCCCTGACAATTATGAGATTATTAATGTTAGGAATAGAGCTAGTGAAATGCCAGACGCTCCCTGGAGAACGCTCGCTCTTTTCCTAACTGCGCCTGTGTTCTGCTGACTTACGCTGATGGTGTCGCTGTGGCTGAGAGGCCGTCTCGTAATGAGACGACAAACACGAGGGCCGCTGCAGAAAATGGGCCGAGTCACAGGACGGCGGGGTGTAAAGGTGCAGTTAGTAACATTTAGCTGTATGTCAGAACTTAAACATGAGAATATCTGGAGAGGGAGATAATTTGTACAGAAATATCTGGTCCACCGCTGCCTCGTGTGGTCAGTATGAGAAATAATTTTGGCATTATGGATTTAAAATAAAATCTTTAAGGTGAAATGTAAAATAATCAAATTTGTCTGTGGACTTGGAGGGGACAAGTCACCATGACATGTTTCTGCTGAGGTAAACACATACTCCATCGTAGCAGGGACACAGGCGCTCAGACAGGTCACTCACACACACACACACACACACACACACACACCTCTTTTGATGAATTCTCTTCTCTGAAGCCTCTTTGATGTCTCTAATCTTCATGAAGCTCAGTTCTCCGGAGTCTTTTCAAAGAAAACACACTGACGTAAATGAATAGCAATTAGTGTCTGTGTGTGAGTGTAATTGTCACTCTTCACCTAGTTTCGCTTCAACCATTGTGAGCCGACCCATGGGTGTTGGGATAAATTACCACAACCCTGGGGGCCCCCCCCCCCCCCCCAGACCAAAGCTGCCTCCACAGTTAAGACTGAACTCATATTATTTGTCTGAAATGAATGATCACATTCTGTAAGTAACAAACTAACCACACGGGGCAGTAGATGATGAAGATGATGATGAAGAACGAATGATCATGGTTATGAAGATGGTGATGATGATGATGATGAAGATGTTGAGTGGGTGGGAAAAGAATGGCTTTCTATTCTCAGCTCCTTTGTTCTTCTTTGCTGCTGGTCGTCAGATAACGCTGGCGTTTCTTCATTAAAGCCCTGATAAATGAACTGTCTTCCTCTCTGAACTGTTGAACCTTGAACCTCCTCGTTGGTCTGTAAATGAAGACTAGAAGGTTAAGGAATAGCTAATGAATATTAGCATAAAGTGCTAGACAATAAATTAAGAAATAAGAGCTAAATCTTAGCCACCAACAAAATACAGTATTTATACAAAAAGTGGGGTCACAAAATGTTCAAGTGTGTACTCAGAGGACAGAC